TTTCATTAACCTGGGTTTCAGAAATTATATGATACGTATTAATAACATTATTAAAAAAGTATTGTTGCAATGTTGCAAATCAAAATACAGGCCAACAGCAACTTGTTGAATTCCTCACTGGCAGTTGCATAAAGAACCCACAGCATATTTAAGACTGACCTGTAAATGTACACATAATAATATTAAACATACTATAAACTATATATACGCTATAATTTAAGACCTGGAATGTAGATAACATCATTTTAACCTTTCCAGAAATTCTAAACTGAAGTCTATTATACTATTACAAAGTTTCTAAACTGCCTTGGGTAAGAAAATCTGTAAAGTGACTGAAATTTGATAATAAATGTGTCTCTTTTGCTTCTTTTGTGTTTGGAGTTGGAGGAGGAGATGTCTTTGTATGATTCTTGGGATTAAACAATCACCCGCAAAACTTTCTTTCTGACTTTTCTTTAACATTTCACCTCTCAGCATGTTTTCAACATGTCTCTTAAACTGGTCGTCAGAAACACAACAGTATTTCTCTTATGTCATTTATATGTAGCTTTGGCAATATTGTTGTTATACATTCATGCCAATAAAGCTGATTTGAAATGAATTGAAAAAAAAACACAACAGTACCTCTATGGTAAAGTGCAGTGAGAAAACCCAGCCGGTCATTTCCCTGGAAAAGCGCCCGTTCTATCTCCATCTCCCGGCGCGACAGTGGCCGGCTGGAGGCGAAGCGTTGTGGGCGGGACAGGAGCTCTGCCCTGGCTTCAATCTTGTCTCTGATCACCTGCAGGCGCTGCTGCTTCGCACCTGGAGCTGCGCACACACCATGGGACTGTGTGGGCACACAGCCGGGGTTAGGACATTAGTTTGTTGGATGAGGTTTATATATAGAATGTATATCAGTGTTACCTCAGAGATCATGAAGTTAGATTTGGCCCAAATGCGTACATGATTATAAAGGTATATTTAATGCTTAATCTGACTTACACAATCAGTTATATATTTGGATGTTTAATTAATTTGTTGTTTAAACGTTGAGCACAAAAATCACATAACAATACATCCTTTGCCCTGGCTACATGAGACCTCTAAGTAGTTTATTTCAGTAGACGAAAAAATAGACACCAATCATTTATACCCATGAGCAAATTCAGAGTTTTAAATCCATGTGACATGAATGTATTTTGATAAAGAAAATACATGCAGGACCCTGAAACTAAGCCAGATCCTCCAGTTCTGAGCTACCTCTCTGTCTGCAGCAGGTTTTACCTTCTCTGATGCCTCCGGTGCGTCTCTGCTCTGCCACAGCTGGATCTCGGTGTCGGTAAGGCCCAGCTCCCGCAAGCTGGCCAGCTCATTCTCCCCATCCTGCAGGGCCTGGAACTGGGAGAGGCTTCTCACTCCAGCCGCCTGTTCCCCAAACGGCCGATAAAGTGATGCCGGTGCGAAGCACTGCCTCTTGGCTACACATCTGAAGGACAGAATAAAAACAAAAAAACAAAGAAATCAAAATTACATCATGCAGGATCCACTTATAGCGCTACCTCAAAAGCAGCTGCAGACACTTTCAGGGTCCCATGGCCTAAATGTTGTTTTTCATGTTTTACAGTATGAATGTACTGATAAAAAGAGGGCTGAGTACGAATATGTAGCCCTGAGGGTTGTGTTTAAAAATCCTTCAGGCTGCACTGTGGGACCCTGTGAAGGCAACATAACAGCATTTTTTATACAGCACAGAGAGCACCGGCGGGAATAAAGTTGCAGACACAGCTTTCTTCTCCCACTGAGCTACACAGGAACACACAGGCAGGCTATATTTTTGAGAGGTTAACCATAATTTGCATTTGAATGAAGCTTTGGACAAATATTTTTGGAAGCAACAGAGCCAAAAAACTGATCCTAAACTCTGTGATTATAAATCAAATTGATCTTCAAACAGATTCATGTTTTGTGGGAGGAACAACAAGTATTTGATCATAAAATCATTTCAATAGATAAAAAAATACAGTGTTATACAGTGTCTGAGGTAAATAATAGCACCCTGCAGTATCTCTAATCTGTAGTCCTGTCTTCAGACATGATCTTCTAAACTGAGTTGAATTAAAAGACAAATTACTTAATGTCAGTAATTATTAACATAAATATATCAGTATATTAAGTTTAAAAGGCTTAAAGCACGTTTACTAGTTGTAAGGTAAGATAATGTTTTATAGTAGCTGGAATTTTATGCAACTGTCAAGATCTGTTATCAAGAGGCAGATCTGTTTTCAGAATGTACTGTAATATTGGTGCCATTGTACTGATAACATTAGGCTTGTATTGTGGTACATTTCTGTTAACAATTTGTCCCAGCACCAGCACTGTAAGAAAAATCTAGTTGGATGGAAGTACAAAGAATGTGCCCAGAGGAGATAAATTGTGCTGCACTGTAAAACCATACGGAAACCAAATGTTATCAAGGAATGTCCGTGGAGGTTTGGATTTAATTTCTCCACACATTACAATGTCTTATTTTTATGGTAAACTCATTTTACGGAGATACAAACAGACAGTTTCTGACCGATCGATGTCAACGTCAGTGTGAAGCTGCTGCAGCAGGAGGCTGTGCAGCTGCCGCTGGCCCTCCGTCTCCTGCTCCTCCAACAGTGGGCCGTCCTCACAGGACTGCCTGCTCACTCTGACCAACACAACACAGAGACATCCGTCGCTTATACAAGGGTAGGAAAAAGACACATCCAACATCATCAACCAGTTGTTACTTTCAGGTGACAGTATGACGTTATTCTGCCATTTGGGGGACACTCCCTGAAGAGGCTGGACTGGACTGAGTCCAATTTACAGTCCAAAACCCAAATATATTTAGTTTACAATCATATACAACAAAAAAAACAAACAGAAAATCCTTACATTTGAGCTGAAACTAGGGGAAATTATGCATTTCTTCTAGAATAAATGACATACATGATCAATGAATTATCAAAATAGTGGCTGGATCATTTTCTGTTGATTGACATTCGATTAAACGACATTAACATTAGATTTAACTATTACGTTTAATCGATTAGTCAGAATCAGAAACAGAATCAGAATCAGCCTATGTTTACACATACAAGGAATTTGACTCTGGATTGTACATTGCTCACGATGTGCTTACTTATACAATAATAAAATCAGACACAGGCAACAGTATAGAGAACACATATATACACACTATATACAAAACCAATATAGACAGATTGAGACAATAGTGCAATGAGCAGAGTGCAAAGGATGCAGGAGTAAATTATTATTACCATTATTATTATTATTATTATTATTATTATTAAAGTGGATGAGATATTTCAAATCAGTTAGCAGGGTTACTTTATGGCAAGGATTTTTGCATCAATATGATAAAGTACTTTAATTTGTTAGGGATTTAATCCTGTCAAAAGCTTACATTACTGTCTTTTATTTTAGCTATAAACACTTTTTCAATTGAATTTCCACATAATTGACTGAATCTCAGCATATATCGATATCACTAAAACATACAGGTGTTATAATGTAAGATTTTATCAACGTCGTTCACCCCGTATTTCAGTGAACTCAAATGAACTGAGAAAAAAAGCTGTGCAGTGGGCAGACATTTAACTACATGTGCTAATAAAACGTAACAAATATCACAATACCGTGACAGCCTCGGTAGAATTTTGCAGACCACCATAACTGGCTTTGACAGAGAAAGAGGAAAGATGTCTGTTTCTATTATAATTTTATTCAACTTTGTTTTCAGTTCTCTGTAACGTTATTGACATTTTCATGAGATAAATTGCATAAATTGAGGCAACCTGGACGAGGATAGCTGCCAGAGGTCAGACGGACTGTAGATGCTAAACTATCCATCTACAATGTAGTTTAATAAAAATGAAAACGTTAATTTTGACGTATTTATAGTTAAATCGTGAATAACGAAATATTTAACGCTAGCTTGGTTGGTTGTCGCTATCTCCACGACAACAGCAGTAACGTTAACGTTACCTGATTGATGTAAAATGTACGTAACAGATATAAACTGGTATTTTCTGGTTCCACTGGTGTCAAATTGGGTCTTAAACCTGATCCGTTAAATTAAAAACACCACAATCCTTATAAAAAATACTGGTATTTCACACTGATAACTTAAAGTTGTGTTTACCTTCGCATGCTTCCGCCTTGTGCGTCAACTTCCGGGGTGTGGAATCATGGGAAATGTAGTAGAATCTCCACATTTACAGTTATGAACTGTACGTTATGTTTCATGGTTACACTCGGCGACAAATAATGCAACAGCCTCGATTGTGGGGCATCTTGGGCTGAAAATAGAGCCTCTGGTCTTGCACCTAGTGCATACACTTTCACAATTAAAAAGAAAAATCCTAACCGGATTGTATTTTTCAGCTGTTAGTCTGTTCTTTCTATATTGGAAACACACACCAGACCTAACATGGTGCATGTTGTTTTTTTTTGTTTTTACAAAGACAAAAAACACATGAAACACTTTAGAGTGCCACACCCTGCTTTATTAGAAAGGGTGTGGTTAGAACACCATGTTTATTGCCAACTATCAGACTTGGCTGCCTTCCTTGATCAATCTAAGGTCTTTTATCAAACGTAATGCTGCAAAGTCCCGAATATATCCTACTGTGAAAAGCTCTCACCCTCCCCACCCAGCTGAAGTGTCCTCAATTAGCCTGCTGGCTGACGTCAGTAAGGTGACATGGGTGCTTCTCTTCACCATTGCCTGGCAATAAGCAGCCCGCTGCTGCAGCATGGCATTAATAGACTGGGATACATGGATGCGAGCAGATCCGTGCTGGTTGCATGCGATTTAAATCTCCCATGCATTAGTGCGCGGTTCTGCTGCAGCTCCTCTCCTCCTGCCGGTCCGCCTGCCTGACTGCCTGCCTGCAGCCGGTGTCGGGTCGCCGGTAACTCAGCTCCTCTGCAGGGCTGCGTAGCTCATGACTGACAGAGAGATGAGGGGTGGGGACGCAGGGTGGGGTCACAAGCAGGGAGAGGCGGAGGAGGAAAAGGCAGAGAGAGAGAGCCCAACCCTTGAATACACGGCAACAACACGCCGTCAGAGAGAGAGGGAGAGACACAGAGAGACTGGCTGTTTTTGGGGGAGCAAAGGGAGCCTTCGACGCTGCGGATATGAACTGAAAAGAAACACTGGAAGAGGCAGGGATCGTGTTCCTATATCCCGAAATTTTACTGTAAAGGTGGAAAACTAGTCCCCCCCAAACCCTCATCTCTCCCTTCTTATTCAGATAGAGGTAACGTTACACCCAAAGCCCCGACCGACCCCCTCCTGCTCCTGCTGCTCCACCCCTTCGCCGCTGCACCGCTCCGGCAACCGAGATGCACACGGAGACCCGTAACAAGAAAGTAAGTGCACCTTATTGACTTTGCCCTGGTCAATGAAAAAAAAAAAAGAAACACCTATATGTGCGGATGGTCTGCCTGTACACAAGCAGAGTTGACATTGTCAGCTCAACATGTGCCAAATACGAATGAGTGAGTATATATAACAGTCAATTACAAGTGTATCCTTGCAGGCAGGCAGGCTATTTTGCAATTAGGGGAAGAGTTTTGTAACAGTGACCTCATTGCATTGCTGAGAGCACTGTCATTTCCACGGTTAATACGGAAATATTTCTATCTCTGTCTTTATCTCTCTGTGCCAGGTTGGTTCAGGTTCAGGTTCAATTTTAAATTCTCTGTGATCTCTGAGAGGCAGGAAGGAAACGGAAGGCAGAAACTGCAGCTTGTAGGACACCATCTTAGCTTTTAAAGGGCCAGCAACCTCTTCTAAAACACACAAGCACACAACCCTGGGAAGCAGCCAGGTGCACTGCCTCCAGCTACACTCTGCCCTGCTGCCTACTTGCGCCTTTAAATGAGTCTTGCTTCAACAGAGTATGCTTATACTCTAAAAGCAAATTAAATCTGGTGAGTGATCAGAATGTTATGGAATGCAGAGGTTAAAGCAAACACCAGTATCCCCACTGCAGCTCCTGATCTGTTTGTTTTGATGGTTTGGAGGGAAGATGATGGAGACAAGTTACAGTTTGGCATACAACAAGTCCCTAAATGCAGAAGTGAACAACTACAATGAACAATTATTTAATTATCAATTTAGTCTGCTGATTTATTTTTGGATTAATCACTTAATTGTTAATATAAAATGTCAGAAGATAGTTAAGATAGACCACATTCCCTAGAGCCCAAGGTGATGCTCTTCAAAGTGCTTGGTTTGTCCAACCAACTGTTCAAAACCCAAAGATATTCAATTCATGAATATAAAAGACTAATAAAACAATTTATCGATTGTGATATAGTTGCCAATTGATTTTTTGTTGATTGGCAAATTGATTAATTGGCAATTGTCCAAGCCTTTCCCTCCATTGAAGTTAAAGTTCAAAGCCTGCAGCCACTTGTTTGACGTTGATGAGCAGTTGCAGGCGATGGTGAATTAAGAGGTCGTAAAGGAGGAACATGTTTCAGTTTAGTGCTGGGGGTAGCACTTTATTTCAGAAGCATTTTTGTTAAATTTGTTGAAATTCTCTTTACGTCCCAAGAGCAATCAATAATTCAAATGCCCTGACAAAAAAGGAAAGAAATCCGGTGGCTGTGGCTGGAAGCACTGCCAGCCTGCCTGTCTATCTGCTTACCTGCATGCACTCTGACCATGCATGACAATGTGTTTTTGAGGAGTGACTTTGGAGGGAGGCGGTGGGACTTTTTTTGGTTGAATACTTTAATGGCTCGTTCCATTTAAGGTAGTCAGAATTTACAGCTAGCCAGGTTAGCTGTTGTTACACTAGTTGATAAAAATGTATTACGCTGTTTTTACGCATACTAACACATTACTTATCAAGTAGCAACATGTCCACAGACAGCAGTTGGACAGTACTTTGCATGTGACAATTTCTATGAGACACAGAAGTGCTAATAAACAGTATAAACTACTACTCTTCTCTTAACTGTTGACAGCCATCTTGGATCACAAAGTTGGTGTTAGTCTGTTCTCCCGACTTTTAGAGTCAGAAATCTGACTTAAGGGCGAGGTGAAATTTCTGACTGGGAACTTGGAAATTCTGACTTCCCAGTAAAACGCACCATAAAAATCTAGCTGTGCTCTTTTCTCCAATGTTGCCTACCCTGGCTGTACGTTAGCTAACGGGCAAAAACTACTAACAAAAACACTCAAATAGAAAGGATATTTCATCACTTCAGAAAGTTAGCATGCTGGTGTTGAACATGGATAGTTATATACTCCATGTGATCAAATATATGTACTATAAGTCTTTCTTCAGTTAACAAACAGAATGCTATTCTTCACAATATTACAATTCCTCCTCTCTCAACTCTCAGCTTTTCCCACCGAGCTTCACTGGAGCGGCCTCCAGGTAAAGGTAAATTAGCAGAGCTAGCAAGTTAGTGGTACCCTCTTTGAGTGTCTCTTTTGTAAAATCTGTGTGAAGGGCCAAAGTACTTTAGGCTCCAGAGCAAACATGTGACTGCTTTGCTCAATGAAGGGCTTTTAACTGAAAGTGGAAGCCAGTAGATCCGTCTGTAGCCTTGTGACTGAAGAAGAAACGCTTTTACACCGCATAGCCATTTGAAAAGTAGTCACCACAGTAAGTAGCTTTCAGTCTGCAATAAATTTAGTGAGGTGTTGTCATGACTCCCCTTGTACAATTATAATTAGCCTCAATGAATCCATTAAATACAACAGGGGGATTTATGACTTATGACACAATGTCAGTAACCCAGGCTATCCACATGAACACCAGCATCTGAGTCACAAGCACTTTGTTTGCCAAATACAGTAAGTCTGCAAGAATTTGCAGCAAACACTGCACTGGAACAGCAACACTTTATCCTCAGTCATGTAATTAACTGCTTTTTTTTTTTTTACTAATGCTATGTGCAGACTAAAACACATTTGAAAACCAAAAGTCAAAGCAGCAAGATTGGATAAAAAGCTGCTTCCGTCATGGCAAACATTGAAAGAAGGCATACTTGTCTTTTCCAGTTGTATCTGCATGGATGCTATGAGGTCATTGCTATGGTTTTTCTGCACTGTGCTTTCATGCTGGTACTTTTTGTTCCTCTTATCGGAGATCCAATGCAGGACCCAAGTTCAGATAGGTCCAAATTATTTTCTGTCTAATCTGGGCGACTACTGTCCCCTTTAATTGGTTGGTTCTTGGATCCATATCTCATAAAGCCTGAGTGGATCCGAGCTGGATCGTTATTAGCTCTGCATCATGCAGTGTGGCATTATTATTGTAGGAGAAAAATTAGTTTTTTAGAGGCAGATGGCAAATGTGAACTGTGTGTACTGTTGCTCTTTTCGTCCGTTGCTGCTTGTTAATTGTGTTGGTGTTCTCTCTCTATTTGTTTCTTTTAACGTTTTGGATCTTATCATCCTCAGATCTGTCCTCAGACTTCTTTCTTTAGGTGGCACCCTTTCTTTCAGAGCGAATGCAAACTGCCAGCATTGTCTGCTGTTTATTCCAAACAAACCAGAACATGAAACGCATCACTTCCTGTGTGGTGGAGAAATGTTCCCTTATAAAGAGCCGTATAACAAGCGCTATTTACAACAGTGACTCTAAAAGCTTTTCATGAACTTTAATGAGGATAGTTAAATACATTTTTATGTTACATCAGTCAGTTGATGGTAGCAAACCAGACATTTATTCACTCACTCTAAATATTGTGGGTTCTTACTTCATTAATGATGTCTGTCACTATCACTTGTTTAGACACAATAAATCAGTGTAATATTGTACAGATAACAACAGGTAAGATGAATTTGATGGACCACACAGTAACAGTAGTGATAAGTGTGAAAAAGGACTCTTAAATCTGCTTAAGATGATGGTTTTCATTGTTCTTATTGCTGAATGTGTAGAAACACTCATGAAGCTCTTTCAATCTTTCCATTCTTTCTGACTTTCTATCTTTACTTCTACCTTTTACCCAGATAACTTTTTTTTTTTTCCACTGTGGGAGTGGAAATCAATTTCCTTCCATCAAACTTAAGGGCATGCGTTATTGGAAGTGTAGTGAACAGATAGCAATGCACTGATTCTGCATCACAGAAGAACAACTGAGCATGCTCCATGGTGTTTGTGTGTGTGTGTGTGTGTGTGTGCGCGCGTGTGTGTCTGGGATCAGCTGGGCTGTAGATGTGAGAGCAGGGTCAGCTGTACATTCCTGGGCAGGGCATCAGCAGCAAAGGGCTCTTGAATACAAAGTCTGCCTGTTCGTATGAAAGATGGCGAGTGTGTGTGTGTGTGTATGTGTGTGAGACAGAGCGAGAGAGAGAGAGCTGATGCCACGCAGCAGGCAATGATTAACTATGCTGAACAAAGTTTGATCAGACCACTGTGATAGTGGATACGTGTATCCCTGTTCTTTATATTACCTGTGATTTTGCATGTTTCATGCATGTTGCAGCTCATTATGTAGACATTGTGCAGTGTTTTAGATTATTGATTTTGTAGCTTGTATGCGGCCATTGGTTTCAATTCATTTCAGTAGATTATGAAAACTAACTTGTAGAGACTTGCAGAAACTGCTATGCATAGATACGTAGTTTATCACAGTGAACCATTACTCACCTTTATCTTTTGTCTAGCGTTGTTGTTATTGTTGTAGAGCAGAGACTAAAAATCCTCTGTTTTGGAATTAAAAATTAAGATTCGGGTGCTGAACAGAAACCATCTGTGTGCAAGAAATGAGCCTTAACACAACATCTATGTTTATTTATTGTTCTAATCTCATTTTATTGGTGCTTTTGAGAAAACGACAAACATTTCTCAGATGTTGGATAATCCTTGAATGTGACACCATAGAGAGTTTTAAAGATGCCGCTAAAGCCAGTAAGCTCAATGACATTGTAGCTCCGACAAATCCAAGCAGCAGATTGTTCACTGTGATGGATTTGCTTTGAATTAAAGTTCACTTAGGAACCAAAACATTCACTGTATACAAATAATTTCTAAATGCAAGTCAGTCGGACAGAGTTACATTTTTTTTATTTCAGTAATAACAAATGTATCCAATTGTGTCCCTTTAAATTTAGAAATGACTTCATAGGACGTATGGATGTTTACTTCACATTCATGAGCAAATCCTGTGCGAACAGTATCATGTCAAACAGAAGTATTACCAGCAGCTGCATGAAGTTTGATATCAGAAATATTTTCAGGGATCTAAAGTATCAATGTGCATGTCATGTTTTTTTGTAAATTATTTTATAAAATAAAGTGAGAAATCTATCATAGAAGACATAAACTGTTTTCTAAACTGGCTGTAGTCAAATATAGATTAGCATACAATGCATCTGCAAAATAGATTGGGCTTTCTTC